AAGGAGGCGAGTAGACAAAGGAGAATTTACATATGGAAAAAGCATGTCGCGGCGCTTCGCAAATTTATTGAATAACGAGCAATAGCAGTGGATTTGCTTGATTTGAGTTGTTGGTGTATCAGCTGAGAAGGAAGATGTCACTTACTCAAGGCATCGAAACACGTGTTTCATTGAGTGAGTGGCGAAACAAATACTCACTAATAAGCCTCTCAATTTATTCATTGGAATCAGCGCTCCCTAAGATGTTTCCGACGCGGAATGTAAACAATTTGGTGTTTGCATCGCAGGTGATAATTTCTTCTAAACTTCGAACCTACCTCGATCACCTTCGATGAGGACCAGAAGGAAACTAAACTTTTTAAGGTTGTGAATGATATACTGTTTTCATAATTGCAATCGGCGCTCGTTTCAGTGTTTACGCACTGGAATGTAACCAATTTCATTTCGCATCGCTCGTGATAATTTGTTTGATCGCGGAGCGCATCATACTACAATGATGAAAGGTCAAGTAAATTGCAATGTCAAAGACGAAAATTCATCTAAAACCGAAAACGCTTCAACACACTACCGTTCAGTATCATATTATGCAAGCGTCTATCAATAATGTTAAGATCTTTCAAGTCAGACTCTAAAATCTGACATCAAGCCATGATGCCGGCGAGTCTTGAAACAAACGTGAACTACACCTATCCTGCTGTAAATTTTTCCGTTCCCATTTTGCAACGATCAACTGCACTACAGTGAAAGCTACACTGGCTCTGTGCATCAATAAACTACAATAGAGGGCTATCAATATTGTTCTTCTTTGTAAAGAGCTTTTAAATCGCTGATATCTGAAGACTTCAAAGACTTTATATTAACATATGGGTGCATACTACTGCCTAAGTAGTGCACATCACTGCGAAGATCACTTTCATTCATATGGGTGCATTGTTGTTGCTATTTCTTGTAAAGGTGACATGGGATTTAAAATATTTGATTCTCATACAAGAGATTTATATGGTAGAGGACATCCCGAAGGCATTTGTGTGCTTATAGAAGTATCATCATTGAATAGCTTGGAACAATACTTTAAGAGTATACATAACAATAACATGTTCGAGGTAAAAGGGGTGAAAATCAATGAGGTTCAAGATGGCATAATTTGTCAAAACACTGTGTGTGAAATTAAGGAGTTCAATCAAAATTGTTTTGTAGCCATCTACTCTATCTGTTATTCTAAAATAAAATCATCCAACTTTTGGAATTCCAATACTTTATCTAGTATTGTATACTATGGCAAAAGGCTATGTTATCTTCAATCTTTAAAAGAAAAGTTTTCAACTGATGACTTGCCAAAAACAGTTGATGTTTGTGAAAATGAAGTAGGGTTACTAGTTTCAAATGAGAGCTATGAAGTATTGTCAGATACGTTACAAAGCAAATCAATTCTTGAAGATGGTATTCTAAACAATGAATGTACAGGATTTTAAATGAGTTTTGAATCTTTTTGTATCAGTTGTATCTTAAAATCCACAAATAGTTCAAAGTATGTTTATTCTTTGTTAGTATACAATGAAAGTCACATACCATCAATTCAGTTCACTAAATGCATACATAGTATACCTTCACTTGTTGATGTCATTTGCCAAACTCAAAGTGAACATAGATCTTCAGTACAATACACAATACAGTTTGCAACATGTTCAATGTAAAAATGTTGATAGAAATGATAGAAAAAAGTTGATGGAAATTCAGAGAAATAGACAACACTATGAAACAATGGAACCATCTTAAAAGAAAATGTTATTACTTAGATAAACAACAAATAAGGGATACAGCAAACAAACACGATAGACTGAAAAAAATTCAAAAATACAAAACAATGCATTCTGCTAAGAAAAATGACCTGTTCAACAAAAAAGCACAAAAATACAAAACAATAGATGCTGCTGAGAAACAAGATCTATTAGACAAACAAGCAGAAAACTACGAAACAATGGATACTGGTAAGAAACAAGACCTGTTAAACAAACAAGCAGAAAAATACAAAACAATGGGTTCTTTTAGAAAACAAGAATTGCTTGAGAGATACAAAGAAACATACAACTGTAATAGTAAAAATATAACTTTAGATTCATGTATTCAACAGTTCAAAAAGAAAATAAGGGAAGGTCCATACTATGTATGTCGTGTTTGTAATAGAGCACTTTATAAGAAATCAGTCTTAACAATTGATTACAAATAGTTATCCCTGTCAGGATATCTTTAGTATACAAACTTCATTTGATAGAAAACAATACATTTGTAAGACTTGCCACTCTAAAGCCATTAAAGACAGACTCCCATGTCAAGCATGCAATTTATTTGTGGATGATGTTCCAACTCAGCTTGAATCACTAAAAAAATTAGAACAAACAATAATAACACAGCGAATAGTATTTGAAAATGCAATGTTCTGGTTGAATGTGACCAAACATGTAACATATTGTCTCATCCTTCTGAAAGATCTGGTTTTATCCTTCTAAAATTAAAAAGAAAACTTCAATTCAGGGGACATATTTATTTTGAAGCAGTAAGACCAGAATTCATAAAGCCATTAACCCTTTATTTAAAGATATACAGATTAATTGTACAAATATTGGTAGTAACAGCTCTTATGAGTACAACACAGAATGAGCTTACTGACAACACTACACCACCTAACTCTCATACATATAATTTAGAAAATGCATTTGGAAATGCAGATGATGATATTAGTCCAAATTCTGAGATATTCCAGCCAAATTCAGAAGAAATTAATTCTGACACATCAGCAAATAGTAATACAGAAATACTGAATGAAGAAGAAATTGAAGATCTTTTTACTGAGCACAGGTCACCTGCCAGTGAGACATGTTTACAGTCTGTTATTCCAGAATATCCTGTTATTATGGAAGAAGATGATGCAAATAATTACAGTACAAGAAGAGAAGTTTGTAATATTGCACTTGGTGAAAATGAAGTTCCCAGTATTGTTTCCAAAGGGTAGATTTGGTTATACTGCTGATCGAGACATTAAATTATCACTAGTAAAGTACTTTAATACAAAATTATTACACTAAAGTGGATGGTTTACTACTAAAATTGAATATCTTTTTTTTTTGCACAGTTCATTATTGAACCAAAAAGTATCTGACAGTATTAATACTGCTCTAAAGAAAGTACATGTCAGAGTATAATGGCATCTCAAGTAAGATCAAATGCACAAATTCTACAAAATCTAATTTCTCCAGATCAAGCTCACTAGTTTCTGAGATAAATTCCAGGTTCTCCTCCATACTGGCAAAAATTCATGTAAGAAGTAGTAGCTATGGTAAAGCAGCATGGTATACCAACATGGTTCATGACATTATCATGTGCTGACCTGAGGTGACCTGAATTGTTCCAAATTATTGCAAGAGCTAATGGCACAAATATGACAGATGAAGAAGTAGATACTTTTTCATATGATAAAAGATGTAGACTTCTCAATATTAACACTGTTATTAAGTGGCAAAGCACTACCAATACAGAGTAGAAACTTTTTTCACAACAGTATTACTGACTGATGTGAACTCAATTGGTAAGATTGTATACTATGCACTACGTATTGAATTCCAAACGAGGGGCAGTCCTCATGTCCATAGTCCCATTTGGACAGCAGACTGTCCTTAATTATCACACGATACCAAAGAAGCCTATATAAGCTATATTGACAAACATGTACAAGCATACTTACCAGACAAAGATAAGGATGCTGAATTGTTTGAAATGGTGAAAAATTATCACACACATAGCCACAGTAAATGTGCAGGAAGACATCATCAACATTATTCTTTTTGATATATAAGAAAAACAGTACTAAATACGACACAGTATGCTGACAGTCTCAACGACATTCTGCGAACTCATACGATGGAAGTTATCTTTGGAGACTTCAATATCAATTACTTCAATTAATTTGATACAATGTCACAAAAGCAACTGATGAATTCCTATATATATATTCAAATTGTAAACAAACCAACCTACGTGCATACACAAGTCTTAAAATAGCGCAATTTTTGGAATTCTCTGAGAGTTCGTCTAAAACTCCATTCCTTTCATGCACCGTGATCTGGTATCCGGTTAGATCGCTCCATGGTTAGATCGCTCCAAGTCAGATCGCTCCATACCGAAGTCAGATCGCTCCACTCGAAAGTTAGTTCGCTCCATCAAATAAGTTATTTCGCTCCATACATAAGTTACTTCGCTCCATGTAGAAACCTAATACACTAACTTACTTCTGATCTACTTCTGATGATGTGTATTGCGTCTTGCGATCGGTCGAATTACCGATGTTGGAACAAGTGTTTCAGTGTGTAATGAACGTAGAAAACTAATAAACTAACTTACTTCCTATCTTTGTAGTTTATAGTTGATGATGTTGCTTGCGATCAAGTTGCTGAAATATAAAGTGATCGACGATTCGTTCACTTGAACCCACCAAAGCGAATTACCAATGATGAAATAAGTGTTTCAGTGTGTAATAAATGATGAAATTTCCCTTATCCTTCTGTCTTTTATCAACCTTCCACGTTAGTTTTCTTCATGGAGCGAAGTAACTTATGTATGGAGCGAAGTAACTTATTTGATGGAGCGAACTAACTTTCGAGTGGAGCGATCTGACTTCGGTATGGAGCGATCTGACTTGGAGCGATCTAACCATGGAGCGATCTAACCGTAAACCCCGTGATCTGTGTGATCTTGGATCACAAATCCTAATCCAGATCTTCCAAAAGGAACGAACCCTATATCAAACCTTTGTAAACACTCATGAAAAAGGCATGTAAAAATTACATGCCCTTTTAAACATACCTATGCGTCTAGTAAAACAAATGAGTTCGAGATATTACGTGCGCCCTGATTGGTCAAACGACCTATCGTCTATTCACCGATAAACCTATAGAAAGCTGAAACATATTTTGTATATTTATAGCAGCATTACACTACACGTTCGATTGGATTATCAGCGAAAAAGCCTTGTTCTTCCAACATTTGGCGTGGGTTATTTTCTGTCGGTAAACCGATAGGAAGAGAGATCTAATGTTTAAATTCCTTGGGCTTTTCATGGGACTTTCATGTTCAGCAGCCAGAGGTGAGCAAATGATGCATGAACATGTTTGATAAGTATCCAAATGATATCAATCGTTATGACCGACATAAACATATCGGTCAAACGTTTAGCAGGTTCTTCCTCTTCCTTTAAGGCACAAGAAAATGGAAATTCATGGAGTATATTAAATATTCTCTAAACATTTACATGTATGCATTGCACTAGTAACAATGTTCATGGTGACAGACGATGTTGATGTCAAGAAAGCTGTGTGATCCACAGCTCAGAAGTCCAATCCATTCTAAATTTTTCTTGCTAAGGCTTCTGGGACAGGTGAAAGTTCCACATATACTTTCAGTTTCATTCCACCCTTTTCATTCCGCTGTAGGCGTCATCGTCCCTTGGTGGTGATTCCTTGTCGAGACTTCGAGAAGAAAGTCAGAAAGTCAGATGATTCCATAGCCAGGTTTGTGTAAAAGTAATTGTTATCTGTAGAAAATTTTGAAGCGAAATTTGGGGGTTGACCGTTTGGTCGGTAATCAATTCCTCTCTCCACATAAATCGATCTCCACCTTCCGCCTTTTGTTGAAACCTTTATCAATTTAGAATGTTGCTTCTATTTTCACAGGTGTCTAGCCGTGTCATTTCAAAAGAAGCTGTTATTTCACAGAATTGCATTAGAGTTATGAATTTATGGTAAGTTAGTTGCAGTGATGTGGCATCCGAGTAATTTGTCGATAGACTTCATAACTTTGCAGGAACTCAAGTAAGAGCATCTCCTTTTCTCGAGGGTTTTGCCTAAACCCAGTGGGTGCTTCATTAAAATCCTTACGCTGACTCGTAACTGTTATTCGATCGAATGTCATTCTCTTGTCTGTGTTGAGAAGGTTGTTAAACATGTCGATTATCTCAATCGCAAGGACACTTTCACATACAATACAGCTTCATCACGTATCAAATTATAGATAGCATCAGGGTTACTCAGTTGATTATCAAATGAAGTTTTTGAAATGTATTTGTTATCAGGAGGAAAGGGGTACTGATGAAACGTATGATATTATTCAGACAATTTTGTACACCAACGCTGCTGAAGGCTAAGTGAGATGATGCAATAAGACACCGCGGCCTTCTATAACTTCGCCTGTGTGAGCTTTTTAAGTGTCAACAAGCAAAACAAACATTGCGGCTCGATACAATCACAAGATTGTTATCTGAAAAGGTGTGTTAGAAACAGTTTTACACAGTACAGGTTTTATGTGATGGAATTTAGGATTTCCAGCATCTGCACCCACAAAATTTCATATGCCTTCTACGCCTAAAAAAGAGGTCAACCGAAAAGAAAACACTGTGGGAAAGATTGCTATGGTGACTGATTCGAAAGGCTGTTATCTGAAGAAGTGTCTTGGAAACAGTTTTACACAGTATAGTTTTTATGTGATGGAATTTAGGGTTTCCAGCATCTGCACCCGTAAAATTTCATATGCCCTCTACGCCTAAAAGAGGTAAACTGTAAAGGAAACACCGTGGGAAAGATTGCCAAGAGGTGACTGAGAAGGTTGTAAAACATGTCAATTATCTTGATTGCAAGAACACTTTCACATACAATACAGCTTCATCACTTATCAAATTTGTCTTCAAAGATTATAGATAGCATCAGGGTTACTCAGTTGATTATCAAATGAAGTTTTTGAATTATATTTGTTATCAGAAGAAAAGGGGTACTGATGAAATGTATGATATTATTCAGATAATTTTGTACACCAATGCTGCTGGAGGCTAAGTGAGATGATGCAATAAGACACTGCAGCCTCCTATAACTTCGCTCGTGTGAGCTTTTTTAGTGTCAACAAGCAAAACAAACATTGTGGCTCGATATAATCACAAGATTGTTATTTGAAAAGGTGTGTTAGAAACAGTTTTACACAGTACAGGTTTTATGTGATGGAATTTAGGGTTTCTAGTAGCTGCACCCGCAAAATTTCATGTCTTATACACCTTAAAAAGAGGTCAACCGAAAAGAAAACACCATGGGAAAGATTGCTAAGAGGTGACTCATTTGAAAGGCTACTTATACTTTGGTAACAATCTGTTATCTGAAAAGGTGTGTTAGAAACAGTTTTACACAGTAGAGTTTTTGTGTGATGGAATTTAGGGTTTCCAGTATCAGCACATGTAAAATTTCATATGCATTCTATGCCTAAAAAAGAGGTCAACCGAAAAGAAAACGCTGTGGGAAACATTGCTATGGTGACTGATTTGAAAGGCTACTCATACTCTGTTAACAATTTGTTATCTGAAAAGGTGTGTTAGAAACAGTTTTACACAGAACAGTTTTTATGTGATGGAATTTAGGGTTTCCGGCATCTGCACCCGTAAAATTTCATACGCCCTCCATGCCTTATCACCAAGAGGTGACTGAGGAGGTTGTAAAAGATGTCAATTATCTTGATTTCAAGAACACTTTCACATACAATACAGCTGAGCAGGGTTACTCAGTTGATTATCAAATGAAGTTTTTGAATTATATTTGTTATCAGGAGAAAAGGGGTACTGATGAAATGTATGATATTATTCAGACAATTTCATACACCAATGCTGCTGGAGGCTAAGTGAGATGATGCAATAAGACACTGCAGCCTTCTATAACTTTGCTCGTGTGAGCTTTTTTAGTGTCAACAAGTAAAACAAACGTGGCTCGATATAATCACTAGATTGTTATTTGAAAAGGTGTGTTAGAAACAGTTTTACACAGTACAGGTTTTATGTGATGGAATTTAGGGTTTCTAGTGTCTGCACCCGCAAAATTTCATATGTCTTGTACGCCTTAAAAAGAGGTCAACCGAAAAGAAAACACTGTGGGAAAGATTGCTTAGGTGACTGATTCGAAAGGCTACTCATTCTTTGGTAACAATCTGTTATCTGGAAAGGTGTGTTAGAAACAGTTTTACACAGTAGAGTTTTTGTGTGATGGAATTTAGGGTTTCCAGCATCTGCATATGTAAAATTTCATGCATTCTATGCCTAACAAGGAGGTCAACCAAAAAGAAAACACTGTGGGAAAGATTGCTATGGTGACTGATTCGAAAGGCTGTTATCTAAAAAGGAGTGTTGGAAGCAATTTTTACACAGTACAGTTTTTATGTGATGGAATTTAGGGTTTTTAGCATCTGCACCCGTAAAATTTCGTATGCCCTCTACGCTTATAAGAGAGGTAAACTGTAAAGGAAACGCCATGGGAAAGATTGCCAAGAGGTGACTGAGAAAGTTGTAAAATATGTCAATTATCTTGATTGCAAGAACACTTTCACATACAATACAGCTTCATCACGTATCAAATTTGTCTTCAAAGATTATAGATGGCATCAGGGTTACTCATTTGATTATCAAATGGTGTTTTTGAAATATATTTGTTATCAGGAGAAAAGGGGTACTGATGAAACGTATGATATTAGTCAGAATTTCATACACCAATGCTGCTGGAGGCTAAGTGAAATGATGCAATAAGACACCGCGGCCTTCTATAACTTTGCCTATGCAAGCTTTTTAAGTGTCAACATGCAAAACAAACATGGCTGCTCAATACAATCACAAGATTGTGATTTGAAAAGGTGTGTTAGAAACAGTTTTACATAGTACAGGTCTTATGTGATGGAATTTAGGGTTTCCAGCATCTGCACCCACAAAATTTCATATGCCTTCTATGCCTTAAAAAGAGGTCAACCGAAAAGAAAACACTGTGGGAAAGATTGCTAAGAGGTGACTGATTCAAAAGGCTACTCATACTCTGGTAATGATCTGCTATCTGAAAAGGTGTGTTAGAAACAGTTTTACACGTAAAATTTTTTACGTGATGGAATTTAGGGTTTCTAGTACTGCACCCGCAAAATTTCATATGTTTTTTTCGCCTTAAAAAGAGGTCAGCCGAAAAGAAAACACTGTGGGAAAGATTGCCAAGAGGTGACTGAGAAAGTTGTAAAATATGTCAATTATCTCGATTGCAAAACACTTTCACATACAATACAGCTTCATCACTTATCAAATTTGTCTTCAAAGATTATAGATGGCATCAGGGTTACTCAGTTGATTATCAAATGAAGTTTTTGAATTATATTTGTTATCAGGAGAAAAGGGGTACTGATGAAACATTTGATATTATTCAGACAATTTTGTACACCAATGCTGCTGGAGCCTAATTGAGATGATGCAATAAGACACTGCAGCCTTCTATAACTTCACCTGTGTGAGCATTTTTAATGTTAACATGCAAAACAAACGTTGTGGCTTGATACAATTGCAAGATTGTTATTTGAAAAGGTGTGTTAGAAACAGTTTTACACAGTACAGGTTTTATGTGATGGAATTCAGGGTTTCCGGTGTCTGCGCCTGTAAAACTTAATACCCCCCTCTATGTTTAGAAAAGAGGTAAACTGTTAAGTAAACACCGTGGGAAAGATTATCAAGAGGTGACTGAGAAAGTTGTAAAAGATGTCAATTATCTTGATTTCAAGAACACTTTCACATACAATACAGCTTCATCACGTATCAAATTTGTCTTCAAAGATTATAGATGGCATCAGGGTTACTCATTTGATTATCAAATGAAGTTTTTGAAATATATTTGTTATCAGGAGAAAAGGGGTACTGATGAAACGTATGATATTAGTCAGAATTTCATACACCAATGCTACTGTAGGCTAAGTGAAATGATGCTATAAGACACCGTGGCCTTCTAAAACTTTGCCTGTGGAAGCTTTTTAAGTGTCAACATGCAAAACAAACATGGCTGCTCAATACAATTGCAAGATTGTGATTTGAAAAGGTGTGTTAGAAACAGTATTACACAGTACAGGTTTTATGTGATGGAATTTAGGGTTTCCAACATCTGCACCTGCAAAATTTCATATGCCTTCTATGCCTTAAAAAGAGGTCAACCGAAAAGAAAACACTGTGGGAAAGATTGCTAAGAGGTGACTGATTCAAAAGGCTACTCGCACTCTGGTAATGATCTGTTATCTGAAAAGGTGTGTTAGAAACAGTTTTACACAGAACAGTTTTAATATGATGGAATTTAGGGTTTCCAGCATCTCCACCTGTAAAAATTTCTTATGCCTTCTCCACCTAAAAAAGAGGTCAACCGAAAAGAAAACACAGTAGGAAAGATTGCTGAGAGGTGACTGATTCAAAAGGCTACTCATACTGTGGTACCAATCTGTTATCTGAAAAGGTGTGTAGAAACAGTTTTACACAGTACAGTTTTTATGTGATGGAATTTAGGGTTTCCAGCATCTGCACCCATAAAATTTCATTTGCCTTCTATGCCTAAAAAAGAGGCAAACTGAAAAGAAAACACAGTAGGAAAGATTTCTAAGAGGTGACTGTTTCAAAAGGCTACTCATACTCTGGTACTGATCCTGGAGAAGTTCTATTCTATTACATTATGTTTTGCGACAAAGAAAATAAGGATCTTTCATGCAAGATTTATTGCATTTCCTTCGGTGGAATTTCCTAAGATTTGCTGGACCATTGATTTTACTGAAGTAAAGTGAAGAAAATCAAAGACTAAGCCAAATTATTGCTGGCAAGCACTTCCCTTCCTAAAGCCTTAGCTTAATAATTAAAACCATTTTATCAATATTTACTACAGCAAACAACAGTCTGAACCTTGCTCATTAGTGTTTGATGGCTTTTAGTGACCTTG